CATTTTTTCAGGATAACTACGAATCCATTTTGAGTGCTAGTCAAGATCAACCTTGGAAGATACTGTTGTTGTGCTAGCTTTATTTATTTATTTTGTAAGACCCCGCCACTGTAAATTTGTCCTATCAATAGATGTATATATGTTTTGTATGTCACATCTCAGGAACAACAGTATTGAAAATTCTTGGGGTGTGACAATGTTAATCAAACATAATCAACGATTTCCCCTCTTTAGCCTGATTCAAATCTCTTTTTACAGCGATGGTCTGGATGCTACACACGTGTGCAGATTTTGACTCTAATAAACACCTATTTTTCTAAGTGCGATGCTGGAGTATAAGCCTATTGGCTTGTGTAATTTTTTTTCCTTTTATAAGAGGTTTTATTTGTCTAAGTATTTTTATGACTTCAATTTATAATTTTTTTCCTTTGGTTTTATTTATCTAAATGTTTTTATGATTTCTATCGCTTATTTTTAAAAAAGTTGAAGAAAGTACTATTTTATGCCTCTAAATTGTTGTTCCCATGTCGTTTTTTACGTGGCCAAGATAAAAAAAATAGCAATTTTGATGACGTGATTTACTGAAGTTGCCATGAAGTATCACAAGGACAGAGCTCATTGGACAGAAAATATGACAACAATTTAAAACGACATTAATCTAAGGCAAAAAAAGTTCATTAATGATACAATGAAGTCACGATTTACGATTTAATCCGTGGTCCAGAAAGTGCTAGAAAAAGGTTCATGAACATGTTGAGAATTGATGTCTTGTATTTTGAGGAAATAGATCTGTCAAGGTGGAGTCCAAAGGACGACTCCGAAGGGCCGTTCATAGGGTATTTTAGTAATTTGTACCATCTACCTAGGATTATATATTGTTGCGATGGGGTTCTTTTAAGGGTCAGAAGAAAAAACGGAGTTTTTTTTGTTATACAAAAATAAAGAGAAGTGAGAGAAATAGAAGTATTGTATTCCTATTCTCCATTACAAATAAATAAGCTCACATCTCGCCATGGATATATACACGTTGTCGAACCACGTATATCTTTGTGTTGTGGTTAGTTGTTTCTTTACGTTGTGGTTGGTTGTCTCTTTCTTTTGTATTTGTTTCTTTTTTTTTGTTTCTTGAATTGTTTTTCGTTTCTAGATAACATAGTACAAATTTAAAAATAAAATCATGGCTCATCTATTAGAGAACCTGAATTTAGGAATTTGTTTGCATCAATGCTTAAAAGACCAGTGATTTGGAATGGGAATGGGTCAAGATCCGACCTAATTATTTGTTGGAATTGGGAATAAGTCTAGTTCCATTAGAGTCACTCGATTTCATTAGGGAACCGGGAAATCTAGACCGTTCATTTGCGTAGTTCCTACACAATTTTTTTTTTTTCCTTATTATTATTATTATTATTTATCAATTCTCACAAATTGGTCCAATCCACCAATCCGCACCAGATTCTCAGATGGCCGACTCACCTGGGTTTTAAAACAATGGTTTGCAATTTATTAGGGAATGTGTAATTTTTAAAGGGCAGGGCCCAAGCTGGTCAGGCCAGCTCTAAAAATATAGGGTCAGGCCATGGCTAGCTGTCCCAGCCCTCATTTTTCTTTTCTTCTATTTTTAGTTTTTTTAAAAAAGTTCTAGCCCATCATAGCCCTTTTTTGCATTGAGAGGGCTAGGGACAAGGCAAAGCCAGAGCCTCTTTGGCCCAATCAAGGTTGGGTCCGGCCCTGGTCCAGCCCGTTGCCGGCCCTAACATGGTGTGTGGTTTTGTGTTCAAAGCTTCAAGCATTAGGTTTTATGGGGTAGTTGTGAACATTGACACTCTTCAATGGCTCTAATTAAGTGGATTAATACCAAATTTTACTCGATTAAGGATTTTTTCTTATTCTTTTATTCGATAAGCTAAAAAAGACATCCCGGCGAGCCATTCCTTAAGCTGCGCCCTTAATAGTGGTTTCTCATCTCACGCGACTGATTCAGCTAAAAAGTAAGACTGAGTTTTAATGGTACGGTTAGAAAATGGAGCATCCAAACGGAGGCCTAATCCAAAATGCAGTAGAACGGAGTATGGAGATCAAGACGAAAATGCAAGATACATGTTACCAACAAACCTGGTGTATGATTTGGTATCATGCATAAAACATGTTACCCAAAATCTCCTCTATTGGTAAATGCATTTCTCTTGTAATCAATCGGTATCTTTGTATTTTTTAATGGTAAGGAGTGATCAAACGTGGGTATAATATCTTTATAATGTAAATGGATACAATAATCACAATCATTATCGATTGTTAGATATGAAATCCAGGTGGCTAGGAGAGTTTTGTTGATTAGGACTAGTTCATAAATTTTTTTTTTTCGAACTATGTCACACACTTTAAGCTGTCAGATTTTACGTTAGATGACTACATATAATTGTGATCTTCTTGTACAAAAAGT